CTCTCTCTCTCTCTCTCTCTCTCTCTCTCTCTCTCTCTTTCTATGTGTGTGTGGGTGTGTGTGTGTGTGTGCAAGTGACTTGCTGAACTGATTTCCACAGCGCGCATCAAGTCGAATCTGGCCGTCCGAAGACTTCCACTAGAAGACATGAAGGCGCTTGACGACCTCGAACTCCCCGATGGCAAGGGCAGGACGATTGATTTTTCGGACGCCTGGGGCGTCAAGCTGTTCACCAATTGACGGCCCAGTCTACCGACTTGGGCATTCATTTCATTTGATGGGTGTGGTCCGCATAGGACGGGCATATCTCTGTACAGCTTGAGGGATGGGATTTGATATAATCACCACAATCAGCACCACCTCCACCTCTACCAATGGAAAAATAGAAGTACGAACAGTGACCAGACTGAAGCAATACAAGGCAAATGGAGTGTTTTGTTGGAATGGTTGATGTGATTTCCCTTATTCTTGTTCTTATTCTTGATACCTACCATACCACCTCATACTACCTAGAAGCAGGCCTTTTTAAGTAAGGTACTCCGTCTCCGTACTGCTGGCTCCATCAGTATTGAATGAGGCCTTAGACTCGTATATATGTATATATATATCTACACCCCGAACTGTTGAGTAGGTGGGATGATATGCCCTTTATAGGGAAGTGCCTGGCCAAGGCTCTAAGCCCCTAAGCCTTTTAGGCCTTTCTTGGGGACAAGTCAAGAAGAACCACCATCTATCCTACATATGTAGAGTCGAGCTCAAACTCAACAAGTTGCATCATGTCGAGTGAGCTGCTATTTCTGACAAGGGACGTATGCCCGAGATGCCAATCCCTCGACCTCGTCTAAACTACGCGGCTCTCAGCTATGTCTGGGGTGACGTTCCCAAGAAGTCGTTTCAAGTTGGTCAACTGCTCCCGCAGCTCCCACACACCTTCGAGGATGCTATGGTCGCAACTCAAGAGCTAGGTCTGCAATATCTGCGGGTCGACTATGTCTGTATCGATCAGCACGACAACTCATCGAAGCAAGAACAGATCGAAATCATGGGCATCATTTATGGCGGTGCATATGTGACATTGGTTGTGCCTCATGGCCAATCTGCTGCAGAGGGAAAGGGAATCCCGCGTGTGGGAGAGTCTGCCGCATTTGTTCACCAAGCACATGTCAGTATTGGCCGAGGCAATAAGATTGTCTCGCGTCTACCATGCTTAAGGATCGAGATGGGAAGCTCTCCCCATGCACAACGTGCTTGGACTTTTCAGAAGATACTTCTTTCCCGGCGCCAACTGATTTTCACAAAACATCAAGTCCACTTTAGCTGCCGGAAGATGATGCAGTGCGAGTCTAGATTCGAGAATGGCCGATTTGACGATGAAGAGGGTCAACCATGGACAATGCAGCCACCAAAACATTGGATGGAACATCATGTTCGGAAAAGTCAGATTGGCCTTGTCACTGCCGCCTGTGTTATAGACTTGGAATTCACTACCATTTACTTTCTGCCGCCACCTCTTTACTGCCGCACTTGTTCTCTGGACTTGGCGTCCTCAACTTCAAGGGTATAAGTATCTCCTCCTCTTTGATCTTTCTCTTCCTTCTTCTTTCTTTTCTTTCCAACTCGTCCTGGTAAGTACAAAACTGAGGCGCCTTCAGCAGGAGAGCAGTTCCGGCAGTCTACTACTAATCTCCATTTTAGTTGGCTCTGGCAGCTCTTGCTGGCTGCTGGCGAACTGCTGAAGGCGGGATGGTGGAGTGTCGTCTCATCTTTGTAAGAGCGGCCGGGTCCTCAGATTTATGTAGTATTAGTATTAGCTAGAGACAATAACAATGAATCTATTCTGAATCATCTTCTCTTTCCCTTTTCCTTCAATGCCTTTACATGTCTTCCACAGCGACTTTCGACTTGCCGTTGAAGACGATCTTGCGAGACGCATGAGACCTTCGTGCTTCGAGTCTGGTCTTGTACCGACGATAGGTATAGGGTACCGAGACTGATAAAAGCATAGTTCAGGGTGTGTGTTTATACCTATATATATATGTACATGCACGGCACCTAGGTACACATGTACAGTACTCCGTACAGTACATAGTCTGCGCAAGGCTGATGCGGGGGAGTTACAGTACTCGGACACTAATACAGTAAGAGGTGGGATTTCAAATCTAAATCTCCGCACTCAGCCTCGTCGACTTTTTTCCCTGACTCCAGCGGACACAGTCTTTCAGTTAATCTGTGTTCTGCGTCTGCGTCTGCGTCTGCGTCTACAACTACGCTTTCTAGAGGCACAGCCATCCACAACAACCACCACCAGTCTGCCCGATAGCAAGACACCTTACACCTTAGTTTAGTACCTCCGAAGATGCCTCACAAACACAAGCGAAAACGCGCCGACGACGAGTCAAAGTACGTTACCCTCGCCCTCGGCCTCGCGGTGAAACCGTGACGGCCAAGGCTGTTCCCTTTCCCTTTTCCCTCCGCCCTATGTCTTCTGTCTACTGTCTTCTGTCTTATGCAGTCAGTCAGTGCAGTTTGGCCCATATCTTCTGTCTCCTGCACCCTACCCTCTCCCATCTCCCATCAGGCATGCCCGCTTCCGGACTGCGCCGCGCACCTTTTCACGAGACTCAAATTATCTATCTGAGAAGAAAGTATTGAGAGAGCCCGAGACTGACGCCATTTTTATTTGGTTCGTGTACAGTTTCGACCTACCGCCCTCGACGCGCGCTCGGCCTCTCACGGCGCTGACGAAACAAGAATCGATCTTCACCTCGGACCGGGAAAAGAAGGAGAAGAAGGCACAGCGACAACAAGAACAGAGGGACAAGACTAAGGCCAAGACCAAGGCCGGGTGCGGGTCCGGAAATGCATTCGCAGACGACACGCCCAAAGCGTTCGCGCGGCTCATGGCGTTCCAGCGCGGCGAGAGGCTCCGAAACTCGGGCCTTGACAACGGCGACAGACCGACAGGAAAGAAGGCCAAAGCCAAAGCGAAAGAGAAAGGAAAAGCCAGGCAAAACGACGGTGCCGGTGCCGGTGCCAGTGCCAAAGCTACTGCTACTGCTACTGCTACTGCTACTGCTACAACCACATTAACTGGCAAAGACCCAACGCCAGCATCCGCGCCAACATCAACAGCAACGTCAGCCACGACAAATCCCCATACTACTACTACTGCTGCTAGTAGTAAGACTTCGAGCAACCCGAACTCGAACCTGAAAATCCTCCCCGGCGAGCGCTTGTCGGAATTCGCCGCCCGCGTCGACCAATCTCTCCCCCTAGCCTCGCTGCCGAAACAGACGACGCGAATCAACAAGATCGCCGGACTGGAGAACCTCAAGACGCCGCTGACTAAGCACAACAAGCGGCTGGCCCGGATGCAGAGCGAGTGGCGCGCCACCGAGGCGCGACTGCGCGCGAAACGCGACGAGATGGCCGACGACCTGGCCGACCAGCGCGAGGAGCACGACATTGTCTGGCTGAGCGCGGGGATCGATGCGAGGGCCGGTGCCGGTGCAGGTGTCGGTGTCGGTGTCGGCAAAAAGAAGAAAAAGAACAAGAAAAGAAACAATGGTGGCGGCAATGGCGATAGCGACGACGATGTCGATCCCTGGAAACAGCTCGAGCGCAAACGTCGCGAAGCCGGCGATCTGGGGCCGCGCAATCTGCTGGACGTGGTGCAGGCCCCGCCGGTCCTCAAACCCGTGCGAAATATCTTCAAGGAGAAAGGGGATAGAATCCCGCCGAGGCCAACTGCTGTCTAGCTAAGGGTAAACACTCGATCGTTCGCGATCGCTAGAAGAAACCCAATCATTCGGTAAAGGGCCGGCACTGCGCAAACTACCACCAACTGGCACTGGCACTGGCACCGGCACCGGCACTGTCGGGGCTAAATCTTCCTATTCGGAGCGATATCGCGTCGAGGCAAGACCAGTCGAGTCGAGTTGACTGGTACAGAAACTCAATCATTCGATTCCCTAAGACCGGGACTACGCCGACTGTGACCACCCGAAACTGGCACTGGCACTGGCACTGTTGGGGCCAAGGCTTCTTATTCAGAGCGATATCGCGTCGAGTCGCGACCACTCGAGTCGAGCTGACTGCTACCACCCAAGGCCCTCTGTCCGGGCTTGGTTTCAATGGATCGTGTTTGATCACGGTCAAGGCCAGTCTTCAAGTTGAACCTGACACCCGCCATCTGGGACGGCATGGCGCAAGGCTAAGCTGGACCAGGGAGGGAGCCTTAGCGATGCTTTGCGTCCCTACTCCTACATACTCCTACATACATATCCCCTACAGACTATTGAGTAACATCTGGCATTTACTCCGTAATGGGACATGACATACTGTGCTGCAGGCCTACTGTAACCCTAGCACCCTAACCCTAAGGGATTGATTGACGTTGAACGAGATATAATGAGTCAAACCGAGCCTAGTTTCGCCTTTGATGGCAATAAATGTCATATTCGTCCAGTAACACCTGGACACCTGGGTATCTCGTCTATCCAACTCCCTTTTGTCTTAGCCGCTATTAACCCCAAGTCCCACCTCCGCCGCCTCTCCCCTGTCTCTTCTGTGCACTCAGCCTCCAATCGTCCTCTCCCGCAAATTTGTTGTGCAAGGGTTGGATCCGTTCGGCCTTTTTCCGTTTGCTTAGACGATCTGTGGGCGCGACCTTGAAGAACGTCGGTGCTGCTTCGACAAGCCACTAAACAAACCCAGTCAGTACCACGTCACCGTCACGAGGAGAAGAACAGTCTGACTTACCTTTGGTTCAATCACAGTCGCACAATGCATGTATTCTTTCGTCGTGAGCACCAGAGTATGGAAAATCACATACTCGGCCGGTTTACCAAACAGCGAGCTGCTGGGATGCATGTATACAGGGGTGCCTTCGATGAGCGTCTTGTAGCCTTCTTGAGGATCTTTGCGCGCCGAGTTGCGGAAGAAGCCAGAACACAATGCCTGGCGCACTTTGATGGTGTTGCGACCACACGACACGATCGGGTGCTTGTACCGCTGCATGATGTTGACCAGTTGTTGTCTGACATCTCGCGCTCTTCCAATCTGACGTTTCTGGATGAAGTTCTCAAAGCACCACGGGTCGCTGAATCGAGATTGCTTCCATGCATTGTATACGTTCAGAAGGGTAAGGTGGTCGCCATGGGGGTCGTGGAATTTGCTCTTCTTCTGGTCGGCTTGTTGTTGTTTCTCTTTCGGCCGATAGAAGACGTTTTGCACGGAAAGCATGGCAACGATGGTGAGCACTTCCTCCGAACATCCGATTTCAACCGAGGCAATCAGAACTTTAGACAAGCCTGGTTCCATGGGAAAGTCGGCCATTTTACGCCCGAGACGGGTCAGGAGGCCTTCATCGTCGAGGGCCGAAAGAGCATAGAGTTCTTCAAGTGCGGTCAACATGGTGTTGGTGGGTGGAGGGTCCATAAAGTCGAAGTGCAGAAGGTCGTTGATCCCCATGGCTTTGAGCATGAGGATGGTGTTGGACAAGTTCTGACGTTGAATCTCCGGGATCGAAGTGGGCAACATTTCCGACTGATACGCTGCTTCGGTATACAACCGGAAGCACTTGCCAGGTCCCGTTCTGCCTGCACGACCGGCTCGCTGTTTCGCCTGCGCTTGCGAGATTGGAGTGACGACCAGAGAATCCATTCCAAGCTTGGGATCGTAGGCGCTCTGCTTGACAAATCCGGGGTCGATCACGTAATAGACATGATCGATTGTGATGGATGTTTCCGCGATGTTGGTAGCAATGACGACTTTTCTGCTTCCCGGCGGCGCAGGGTCGAAAATCCGGCTCTGCATCTCACTGGGGAGGGCAGAGTAGACGGGCAAGATGATCAGTTCCGGTACAGAAGGCCCCAACGCCTTCATCCTCTCGTATAGAACCTCGCAACTGGTGTCGATTTCCTCCTGTCCGGTCAAAAACAGCAGAATGTCGCCCGGCGGCTCAGTCAGGTGGATTTGCATGACAGTAGTCAACGCCGCATCCAAATAATCCTCCTCTGGCTCTCGTGAATACATGATCTCCACGGGGAACGTTCTCCCAGGAATGGAAAATATGGGGCATTGGTTGAAGTATTCCGAGAACTTCTCAGCGTCGAGTGTGGCCGACGTCACAATCAGTTTCAGGTCAGGGCGTCTTTTGAGCGTCTTCTTCAACAAACCAAAAAGAACATCAGTGGCGATGGTTCTCTCGTGGGCTTCATCCAACATGATAACGCTGTACCTTTTGATGTCCGGATCCAGCAGAATCTCTCTCTGGAGCATACCATCGGTCATGTATTTGATCTTGGTCTCTGGTGAAGTTCGATCTTCGAAACGGATGGTATAACCGACTTCTTTCCCTAGTTCACAACCCACCTCTTCCGAGACACGCTTTGCCACCGACATTGCAGCCACTCGCCGAGGTTGCGTGCACCCGATGATTCCATGGTTGGCATAGCCTGCTTCGGCGAGGTATTGTGTGAGTTGGGTTGTTTTTCCAGACCCTGTGTCACCAACCACGATAAGCAGCTGGTTTGCAGCAACGGCATCCAACAGCTGGTTCCGAAATTTGAACACAGGGAGCGACTCTCTCTGCTGTTTGATGGTCATATTCGTCCTCCTACCAAACGACTGGTCCTTGCTCTGCACCGCGCGTTTCCACTCCGGTACGGCTGCGGTCGCTCGCGAGGATTGTTGTTGAGCTTGTCGGAGATCTGCCGCAAATTTACGCTGCTCGGGACTGATCATGGGGTCCTGCCATTGTGCATTCAGATCAATCTTGGAAGCCTCCTCTGCGGCTCTGTCAGCCGCGTCCTGTTGCTTGAGTTCTCTGCGCTCTTTTGATAGTGTTGTTCCTGCTTGAGCCGCCCTGTTTAGTGAGCCTTCTGGAGCTTTCACTACCCTTATAGGGGACAGCTCAAGAGATTGTTTGGTTTGACCGGCGAGGAAAGGAGGTTCTTCCTCCTTGACCTCAATGTCGATGTCCTCTTCTTCTTCGAACTGGCCCTCCCCATTCAAGGTTGCATGATACTCCTCATCGATGTCCGGGTAATCCTGGGCAGATATCGCCCCGGAGGCAATGAGCTGCTTGATTTCCCACCGTTCAGGCGAGGTCATTCTCTTTTTGTTCCTGCTGGGTTTGGAAATGAAGACCTCTTCAATCACAGGAACAGAACTGCTTAGATTTCCGTAGCGATCAATGGATGGGCCACCGTTCAATCGTTCCATATTGGCACCCGAAGCAATCCTCCTAGCTGGAACCAAGTCCTGACCAGACACTTGGTCGACCTCCTTCATCGAAAGACTGATTTTGTTGTTTTCCATCTTGGTAACTTTCACCTTGACAACTTGACCGCGCGACAAGAGATCCGAGGGGTGATTCACTCGGGCGCCGTCTTGGATTGCCGAGACATGAATCAAACCACTGGGATTCCCCTTGACCCCTTCCAGGTTGGCAAAAGCGCCGAAATCTTTCATTCCGTTGATGACAGCGTCGTAAACCTTATACAGTATGGGAGACTCATCTACCTCCCGTGGCGGAGGTTTCTTGAAGTCGTCGTCGTCATAGTCGTGCCGTCTGCTTCTGTGGTTGCCACTTCTTTTCTCATCACGTCGATCTCTGTAGCGGTCGTCTCGTTTGTCATAGTCTTCGCCTCGATCTCGCCGTGATCTCTTCTCCCGTTGAGGACTAGGACTTCGAGACGAATACTTCTGTCTCGGTTTCCTCCCTCTCGAGTAGTCGTCTCCGTCGGGGCTGCGACTCCTTTTCCGGCCTTTGTCGCTGGTGCCGTTTGTGCCATTCACTGGTTTTCCCGCAAGGCCTTCTAGGAGAGCAAAAGTGTCATCTTCCGGCGTCCCAACGTCAGACGGTCGAGTCTCGTCGATGGTTTTCTGTCCAACCATATCATCTTCGTAGTCGTCCCACAGTCGTTCTTGGTCTGGCACAGCCAGACCCTTGAAGACTCTGGCTTTGCGACTGATGTCATCCAGCTCCTCCATATCCGACTTTTGATTCGGCGCAGACTCTTGTTTCCGGCCTTTGTATTTAGGATGCATCGTCAAAATCAAACGATCGATGCTCTCCACCAGACTGTTTGGAAACTCTGCGCCCATGCCTGCCAGAGCCTCCTTGAACTGGGGCAAATTTCCGCCACATTTTTCATGTTGGTCGATGACGAATTCGGCAAGTGTTTTGTCGTTGATCCCGAGATGATTCTGGAGTTCGGAGGTGACTTTGGAGACCAGAGACAGGAGCTCAAGGGAGGTGAAGTCGTCCATGGTCGGCGAAGGCCCCTTGGATACTGTACAGGTCGTGGTGGGAGTTGGACGGTTTCGTCGATGACATTTAGCGTAGCGGATGGCTGTGGCTCGCTCGAGATGAGATTTTTGGGGTTGGTGTCTGTCCTACAATCCAGGACTCTAGCGAATCATTCACCCTGGGCCAGTCTGATGGCGGCTTACAGGCTGTGAAATGCAGAGTCTCGACACTGGGTCGATCGGAGCATCGTGATCAAGAGTCTGATCTTTTCTTGGTCCGCACCTTTGGACTGCAGGGGTAAGTGGTGAGTGGTGTCGGCCTGCGCTTGCACCGAACTATCTTGGCAGGGTCCAGCCCGGCGGCGCCTGGCTTCACGTCATACCAAAAGAGGGTAGCACCAGTAGCACCAGTAGTGCCGCTATTATCGGATGAAGATGAATCGACCATCTTTATTTGGTAGTCCAGAATTTCTGTACTTTTCTCCAAGTCATCCAAATTCGCAGGGGAACAAAAAGATCCCTGATGAAGAATCTCACGGGCCCTTTAGGCGTGACTGACGTGGTTGTGCTTTATTGGCTAATAGTCTACGATTTTACAACACACCAATTCAACCGTGGCCGATGATCGCGACTTTAGATATATACGTATATACTAACATGAAGCAGAATTTGTCAATCCACCCCTCAACAAATCCTCCCTGGGTGTATATTACCCTTTCATACTGCCTTTGACGGGTCACCGAGTATACCTTGTCATGTGTTCTTACGGCATAACCCATGCGGTTCGAGGGGAGTGCACAAGGCAACCACAACATAAGATAGAGACACGACTACGCAAGAGATGTGTTACTTCGCCAAAGCCAGGCCCTCCTTGTGACAATCCCACGCACGACCCAGGTCTAGATCAGCTCCCTTCTAGGAAAGGAGGGTCATGCTCAGCATGTCGAGATTCAGGGATATCACTTGAAATCTATCATGTCAAATGGGTAAGCTTAACGGTACGCTTATTGATATATCTATGATCTAAATATCGATGAATAATAGGTGGATCTGCATGGCTAGACTCTGTCACTTCTGAATAGTAATAAAGTCTGAGCAGAACTTTGGTGAGGGTCATCGTGAATAAGTTGAAGTGATACTACAGGCAGGTCGGAGGATTTCTATGACTATACCGGCTCGCATAACGTTAGGTAGCTGTGGAGTGATAGAAGAGTAACCTCCTGTCCCGAAGCTCATGACACCTCGTTCCATTTCACGAGTGTAGGATGGGCGTGAGATGTTTCTAGCTCTCGAAGAACCTCACTCATAGAGGCGAAGTCGCCATGCCAGCAGCTCAGGATTAACCGCCCAAGAGGTAGAGATGTAACGTCGGGAAAGCGGTTGTTTGCATATAGCTGTTCAACCTGCTGATATCGGTCATTGGATGACTCGAGCTCATGGTATGGTGGTCTTCCAGTCATAACTTCGTAAATTGCACAACCAAATGCAAAAATGTCTGTGCATCGATTCACCCTGGGTATTGATGGTCGGTAACTGAACCATTCGTAACAGGAATCTGCTGGTTCACCGTCGATGCTACAGCCTTCAAAGTCGATTATCTTCAGGCAACCCTCTCTTGTTAGAATCATGTTGTTACAGCCAACATCGCCGTGGATAATATTCCAGTTATGTGAATGCTGATAACCTTTTGCAGCTTGCTTCAGCCAGCTCAACTTTATTTGGATTGGAATCTTAATTGCAGAGGGAGATTGACAGATTTTCCGAAGGACTTGGCCTCTTTCGAGAATAATGGAACCATCTTTCCGGGTACCCAGCAATTTGGCAATATTGGGATGCAAACCGAGACGGTGATATGCTCGACGTTCAACTTCGCCTCTTTCGCTCTCTTGAAATTCTTTTAAGATTCTCTTGTCATCGATCCCATAGACAATTCCTGATTTCCCGGCACCAAGGAATTGTAATGCTTCAAATGATATCGAATCAATGTCTGTGTTACTTTGATGATGAAGCATTTGAAGGCAATTGGTGCAAAGCTCCCTTACAATGGAGAGGAGTGAGAGGAAAGACCTCGCGGCGCGCAGGAAGGGTCCAGGATCGAACACCAACTTCCCCCGACGGTAACGAGTGTTTGGAAGGACTTTCGGGAAGCGCAGGGAGGAAAGAGGGCCGTACTGAGGCTATGGTGGGTGTAGCATCGTTCAGGGAAACAATAGATGAATAGTAGTGCTTCTAGCTTTGATAGCTCCTGTCATGGCACCATATGCTTTCGTGCTCTTCGATGGAAAGTTGGTATGAAGAGAGGAGTTGAACGTCAGTGACACCGCGCGATCCGCTCCCTGAAGGTCGGCCGACCTGCCTCTTCCGTTACTTTGTTTGAAATTCCCATCTCGTGCGAAGAAGACTGCTTGATGAACTGGTTCATGCGCAGTGGTTTCAGGCATCTAAAGATTACTGGCAATGTTCTTCCACAACCCTGTTCACCGGAGAAAGCTGAGGTAAAGTGTCTTAAACCCCTCATGGACCTACTATGGAGCACCACAGTACCGCCCCGCCCACCTCCTGCCCTTCGGTCATAGGGCACCGCCTGCACGTCCCAGCGTGATCTGATAGGTACGTAGCTCCTTCCGTTCGATCTGGAAACTAGTTGTAGATTGTAGATCCAAGGCCATGGCTTATGTACCAAGGCGTCTCTACTCAAGCAAGTCGTCTTCTTCCTCCCATCCTCCACGCTTACTTCCCCGTGTTCGAGAGCTGGCTTCGTTCTCGAAAGAGCAATGGTGATACTGCGTATACTACTCGAAGAGTCGTCGCTGCCGGCACTAGAACTGTAGGCCTCGGTGTCGAGGCTGACGTCTTCAGCCACTTGTACAACACCACGACCAGGAGCCTGCAAGAACGTGGCAGTCAATTGCCATTATTGCGATGCGTAAGGATTGACAGTAGCGGTGACTAGCCTGGCCGCAGAGAAGAGATCCCGCGTGAGCCTCCAGGCCGTCGGCGATTTCAGTAGCGCCCCGATCTCCTAAGCCTAAGGCACCTATAAGGGGTCTCTTACGTCGACGTTGTACACTATCCGTACCTTACGCTCTTTCCCCTCCACCCCTCCACCCCTCCCTCCTTCCCGCAGCAGGAGCAGCTGTTCGCTGCCCATCCTTTCGATCTTCCTGAGTTGCTGCTCTTCTGTTCTTTGTCCCTTTCCGTCGTCTATCTCAGTCTCATTTTGTATCTAAACCTGAATTATCCTTACTACGACTCAAGTTGTCTGACTATCATTAACTACCGCACCTACAATGGAAAACATCCGCGCAAAGCTCAAGCGTAGACTCAGCCATAAGGACCAGAATGGTAGGTTCAGTATTGTGTTTATCATTTGTGCCCACCATCTGGCTATATTCAATGTTATTACAAGGACGCTGGTCCCTTGATGTACATATCGCCGAGTCAAGCCTTTCGAATCCCCTCAGGCATATACCTAGGCTGTCATAAGCAACCCTGCTAATGATCCATAGCCAACTTCGATGACCATGATTCTGCCGACGAAGATACTGTGGCCCATGTCACCAAGGAAGCTGACGATGCTGAAAAGGAGGGCCACGCTACTGGGAAGCCGGGGAGCTTCTTGAACCGCCTAATTCTGCACGGCAACAAAAAGACCGAAGAACAGATTGCACGAGAATTCGCTGCCGCGAACCCCGAGGCTGGCGCGGCAGGTAAAGTGGTCACTCAACGATGAGCATTCCTGCAAACAGTCGAGAGGGTGTGGAGGTCCACACTGCGGGTACATAAACGTTGGCTAGCAACAATATAGTCGTCGCCAACATTGAGATAGCCTTTGGCTGTCACTCGTACACAGACGGCTTGGTTGGATTTTCATCCACGCGTGCGTCTTCGCGGTCGGCTCCGGCACATCGTGTGACCAAACGGGGGTCTCGCCCTTGAAGAGCCCCTATGCGTGTGCCGTGACGGAAGCCTGTGCAGATTGAGCCTCTTCAAATCCAGCTTCCTCGGGTCCGCGAGTCCATTCCAGCGGCAGGGCTGAATCTTGATTGCCTGGGAAATCGAGGTTCGTGGCGACAGCTCCGTGAGTCGGGATCTTGGAAAAGTCCATTCTCTTCTTGTACGCGAGTACACGCTTGCGAAGTTCCGGATTTGCCGAAAATTCGCGCAGACATGTGTTGATTCGGTCCTCGACCATCTCTTTGGCATACATGGCCATGTCTCTGTCCTTGAACGTCCCAATAAATCGGTAACTTAGCCAAAGGAACAGGATCAGGGTTTTGTGGAGATCCTCCAAACTCTGCAAATATTCTCGGTCCCCCGAGATGGGCTTCTCAAGTACTTCCAGGTTGATTTCCGCAATGTCGACGACCGTCACCTGCCTTTGTTCGGCTATGATTTGAGCTAGAACTTTCATTGCCATAGTCACGTCATGCGACGAGCTGTAGCCCGGGGCAGCTGTCAACACAATTCGTTGAGCAATCGTCAGCCCTCGAACGGGTTCAATGATGTGGGCAATTCGACTCTGGTCGCGGATATTGCATAGTTTGAATCGACGATGGATAGACGCTGATTGACAAAGGCGCCTCAGAATATACTCAAATGGAATTCCCTTGGGCAATCTGGTTGCCATATCCTCCATGAAGTCTCCAGGAGGTAGAAGACCTGCGAGTCTGATCGGAGGATCCTCGGCGCTCATGGCATCTCGGACGATAGGGAGATCCTCGTCGTTCAGGGTGGTGACGAGACCCACGTTGACTTCTGTGGAGCTATCGGACTTCTCAGAATTGTTCATGGCTTGATGTGAGCTTCGGTATCTTCCTGCTCGGCCACCAATTTGTTTGATTTGGGGAACGGTCAGCTGTTCCGTGTAGGAACCGTTGTATTTCACAACTCCATGGAAGATGATTCGCTTAACGCTTCTATTCAGTTGTCAGTCTGATTCCATGTGGCCGGGACCAACGCTGCTTACAAGTTCAACCCCATTCCGATAGCATCGCTGGCAACTAAAAAGTCATAGTCGTTGTCAGGGTCGTTGAATAGTGCAGCTTGCTGTGCCCGAGTCTCTGGAGGCAGGCTTCCATACACAATGGCACATCGACGGCCCGTGTCCAGTTCGATTTGTTTTTTCATGGCGTGCAAGCTGAAGACGGAAAATGTTACGATGCAGTCGCCCTTTCGAAGGTTTTTGAGGTTCCCCCCCAAACTCTTCGACATCACCTTCAACGGATTCAGGCGCTTGTACTCGTGTACATGTAAGCTATCGCCGGTCGAAGCGGTCAGTTCGCGGATTAATGGAAGGACGCGGGCTTCTCCACAAAGATGGACTTCTTTAGCGTTCGCACCGAGGAACGCTCGAGTCCACGCCCATCCACGGTCTTCCGAGGCCATCATTTGGACTTCATCAATGACCGCCACCTCAACCGGCGTGGTGACATCGACCATTTCCACAGTCGAGGCTGACAGCGTGACGTTGGGATCATCATCAATCCGGACATCGTCTCCGGTCACCAGATCGCACGACAGCCCTTTCGCCTTGAACCTCGAAAAAACCTCGTGCGCGAGCAGTCTCAGTGGCCCGGCGTAAAACCCAGAACCACTCTCCTCAAGTCTCTTGAGTGCATTATATGTCTTTCCCGAATTCGTCGGGCCGATATGAAGGTGGACATCCCTCTGAATCTGACGAGCAGCAGTGTACCATTCAGTCGGGTACCGCAGATCCGGCCTGACCGACATGTCTCCCGAATCTCGTTGCGCTTTTTGCAGCAGGACAAAATCGATGAACCCGTAATGGAGGGCCCTTTCGAGCTCGGCACGCCACTCAGGAGAATTCTGGGTGCGCCCGATCTCTGCCAACAATCTGTCATCCTCGGCTGTTTTGGTTTCATCGGAGCCAGCCACGATTCCTTCAACCCTCCTTTTAAAACCGTCCCAATATATCCGGTCCGGATCAAGGGCGGCGAGCTGGTCCAAGTGCGAGTCGCTGTCAGCTTTCGTAGACGCAAGGCGCTTCTTGAGACTTTCTAGACAAACGCGGACTCGATTTGAGATGGCTTCCGGGAATAGCCTGATCGATAGCCTGCCAGGTCTTCGATTCGGGGTCGCCGATGATTTCGCATGCCTGGACGGCTCGCTCCTGCGGCGCACTGAATTCAATGGTTCCCGCCATAGAGGAGTAGTGCTAGTGTAGTCGCGTCTTCCTTCTTGGAGTTGCCTTGAGAGGGCCGCAAGCTGGGCTCGAAACGAACAGCAAAGGCATTGGCCTCGTCGTGCCGAGATGGCCAGCATGCCACGGCGGACGAAGGCAATGGTGATGACGGAGAGCAGGAGAGACAAAGGCGATGACGGGTCTGAAGTTCAAGGCACAATCATTTGCACCGAATCCCAGCTTGCACACAAACACAACGCCAGGGAAAGAGAACAAGACCTGACATTGGAATACTACCAATTAGAATTATAACAGACGAGAGTCGTCCAAAAAAAGTTCTAGACTGCGGGTTAGGCTTGGGACTTTCTCCAGCAAAGAAGAGGTACGTAAATTCACGGCGAGGTCACGTGGGCGCTCACCAGCGTTGCGCCGCTTTAATCCAGTGCTCGCCCTCATCTTCCAACTCCATGAAACATTCAACATTCAACATCAGCCACCTGTTTTCTCTTTCAATTTTCTTTTTCTGGGATGCCTGATTCACCCCGGCTTTCTATTCGTAAATTCGTAGTGGTGACAATGGTCAGGTTAAACACCAAGTTGTGAAATCCCTTACTTCGGCTGAAACGACACTAGAGAAACTTGCTCCTTCGCCAACGACTCGCTTCATGACTGCGGTGCCAATAAATCTCGCATCAAGCTCCTCGTCATGATTTCCGTGGATATTCACCAGAACGGCGTCAAAGTCTTGATTCTGCGCTTGCGGAACCCTAAGGTACACCAACCGATTTATCATGATATCTGTGACCGGAAGGGATGAACCAGGTTCATGGAGTGTCTTCGAGGTGGGTACTACGCATAGCGAGTGACCCTCGCACATGACAATGATCTGATTTTCGAGGGTTATCTGTTGAGGGACTTGCAATTTTAGGCTGGGCCTTTTCAGAACAACACCATGGTCTGTCACACGAGCCCATCGAGTGCGTTTGCTTTCTGTTGACCCTGCAGCCTCGATCATGCGATCCTGGTTCTGTGCTAGGAATGATGAAGGCAAACTGCGTAAGTGTGGAATTGGAGAACGCGAGCCGGGCCTGAAGATGATTTCACCTGGAAGTGCAGTCAATGAGTTATAGATAGTTTCCATGGTTGGCATGTGTGAGCGCAGCCCAAAATGGAAGCCCAACAGGTTGGCGAAGACTATGGCCTCGTCTCTTAACTGGCTGGTACTGCGATGGCTCATCGATTGAACAAGGGCCATCATACGGCTTTCGTTGGCATCCCGTCGCTTGTCCTCCGACTCCTTCTGAACGACCAGGTCCTGAAACTGGAATTCCCGCTGAAGGGCCTCGGCGAGTCGTGCTTCTAGATTGATGCGGGTGTACTCTCGAAGATGCTGGCAAGTTGTGAGTTGTTCGAGCGTCAGCAAACAATCTTTGAATGCAACAACGACTTTCTCGGGCATTGGAAGAGCACCTTCCTGCAACGTCCAGAGCCTTTGCATCCAATCGCACATCAGCAATTCGAGCTGGCAGGTGACAATATTGACACCACTGATGGACAGCAGCCTGCTGTCTAAGACGAGCACGAACGCCGCATCTTCGTACACTCGACGCATCTGGTTGATTGCCATCTCCCGGTGCTTAATGTACCGCTCACCTACAGGAACACAGAGTGTGTCCAGCCATATGGGATAGTCCGCTGCGCTTGATATGCGATGTGCTTGCGACATGAGCCAGTTGTACCTGCACCTGAGAATGGCATTGGCCTCCGGGTTTCCCAACCCATGTGCCCTGGGCAGAAAATTAGAAGCTCGCAAAATGCATTCCTTCAGGGTTGACCTACCACACGTGGCTGATCGCTATCCATCGACCGGCGCTCGACGCATCCGCCGCCGGGACGACAGGGGCGTTGGCGCAGTCTTTGGCCTCAGCGACGACTGGAAACTCACATGCTTCCAGCATTCCGACGACTACCTCATTATCCACGTGAAGAACAGTGCATTCACCCCCGCATTGACTTGTGTGGCAACTGACAGAAGTCGCTGGCCGTGTGACCCGTCGAGCCGAGCATCGATTGGGTTGGCAATGCGCATGCATATCGCTCCCCGGATATGGCAGAATATACAAGAGATACCATGCCGACAGACACTTTTCGAGTCCACTTGTACGCGCTAAGCACCGCCCTTTTTTTGCAATGAGAGCCTGTAGTATCGGGATCACCGTGTCCGCATTGACAGACACCTCTTCGATATAACTTGATACCAGTCCGTCTCCGGTCTCGAAGTAGGTAAAGGATGAAATGAAGATCTCCGCCAGGGTCTCGTACAAGACGCCGATAGCTAGAAGCACTTTAAAAGTTGTGCTCTGAAGGCAGTCCTCGGCGTTTGTATTGGGACGAAAGGGTGGGAAGGTCTTCAGAGTAGCATTCAAAGCCTGGAGAGATTCATACATCAATTCAGTCACTCGTAGCCTCGCATCTTGTGTCCTTTCGACAAATTCAAACATGAATTCGGAGGAATTCAGCAGCCCACTCTGCCAGCTCCTCAGCAGACCTTCTTCGCTCCAGTCAGGGCGACAATCGCGAAGAATTGGCAGGACGCAGGTAGAGAGGATGGCTGGGATGGTATGCTCGACCAGGGCCGTCGTAGAGACAGTCCGCTCGCCGTTGGGATGATGTCGGATGAACCACGACGGATTCCACTCCAGATCGAATGCGCTGTGAAATGCCTGTAGAAGTTGGAAGAAGAAACGAAGCTGTAGATGGACAGCGGTGCCTTCAGGAGGAGCGGTGGCCTCGTTGTGCGGCTGAGCTGGCAGACGTGGCAGCAGAGAGTCATTCACGAGACATGGCACATGCAGGCCCTGCACCCCAAGTGCCTCATGCAGAATCTCCATGTTTTGGGTGTTGACTGCAGCAGATTAACTTGCGATGACTGACAGCCAGGGGGTGACCTGACCGTAACTGCAGAGGTTTGTACATATGCACATGACATTACAGTGCACGAGAGCGTGCCATAGGTGCCTCTTTAGCCTGGGGACCCTAGACCCTAAGACTTAGGGGCGCCTCTCAAGCCGGGGGAGCGCTTATGTACATGCTTAAGGTACCTATAGGTACCTAGGTATGTACCTACCTATACCTGTTACTGTACCTGAAGGAAACTGTAGGTACTGTAATTCCTCCGTCCTCCGTACGCTCATCTTGTTAGCTTCATCGCTTTTGCAGCATGCAACCTTGCTACATATCAGGTCAACATCACTCCTGAAGGCTCGGCAGCCGTATCGGATCAAGTTGTGATCTGGTTAAGCATCCCGGCCACTACAATCACGATCGGATTCGGGTCTCTTCACCTCCGGCTTCCATGCATGGCATCGGCAGGCACATGGTCTTGGAACATTCTCAGTGGTCTGCCACCAGCCATCACCCACTCTTCATGGCGACGGCGCGGGGTGTGGTCTTCGCTGTCCATCTGAGTGGGGTTTCTATGGCGAGGCTTGCTATGAGAGGCCTAAGGGCCGGCGACCCTGGCGAGGCCATCTTGGTCTGGATACATACGTGTCTGACCACTGACCACTGCTTGCTCAGTCGATCGCTTGCCAGGATCGCCGTACGTTAGACCCAGCCCTCCGCATATGGCGGCACTCTACCGCAGCTTTCTTTGACCACATGTGTGGCAACCAGTATTCCTACGAAGGCTGCCTCGGTACACACAGCCCCTCTCCGGAGGATTGGTTCCTGTTTTGGTAAGAGTTGGACGTCAGTTGCTGTGAGTGCAATTGAGCACTCCAGCATCTTCGGCGACATGGACTGGAAGGGACATCGGGCGGTACTGGCTTCAGAATTCTCCTGCCGAGCCCACTGTGCGACTCGGAGAATGTTACGATACCCCAGGCATACCACCTGACCATGTGCCCAACCCCTCTACCCTCATATATACGGTGAACTTGGATGGCCAGTTACTGTTCTCTCTCATTGATATGAGCTCCTTTCCCTCTCTTGTTCCTCAGTCACAAAACCAATCGTCGCAGAACCTGACCCACAAGAATGGCTGAAGAAAAGTCTCTCAACGACCCATCCGTCCCTGGCAGCGATTCAGGCCAACAAGAAGGGGGAGTCCCGCCTGTCGACCATGTGGAACGAATCAAGACAGCAGAGAAAGTCGAAGGACACCCTGGATACTATGAGAAGGATGGCCTTCGGACTTATGGCGACGGCGTGGATCACGATCATGAACCTCCTGTGAGTGTTTTTTCTGCGCTGGCCTTTCTTTCGAGGAGGCTCATGGACTTGCCACTAAGTACCAACTCCTTCAAAACAGTGGACGGTTCGACGGATCTTGAGTCTGGTGGCCATGGCTTTCCTGTGGACCGGTTCACAAATCCCAACCTATTTCATGGGCGCAATCCCCCCTCTCATTTACAGAGACATCGGAGGCGTGCACAACTGGACCTGGTATATTCTGGCCTACCTGCTCGCTCTTGCAGCCGTGTGTCCGTTTGTCGGCTCGCTTTCGGACCTACTTGGCCGAAGGTATGTTGCATTGTTAGGGTCAGGGTTTTTGGTGATTGCCATGATCATTTGCGGCACAGCTCAGGGCATGCACCAGTTCATTGGTAAGCATCCTCTTCCTCCTCCTCCTCCTCCTCCTCCTCCTCCTCCTCCTCCTCCTCCTCCTCCTCCTCCTCCTCCTCCTCCTTTGGGAAGGCCGCTGTTACTGACACGAAAGGGCGACAATAAAAGCTGGCATGGCAGTATCCGGCGCCGGGGCAGGGATTTGCGAACTGACCTGTCTTGCTGGCACGGCGGAACTGGCGCCGACTCGTAAACGCGGCCAGTACGTGGCTATTCTCGTGGCGACCATCATTCCATTCTGTCCTTCGGCGCTGTATGCCCAAGTCATTGCCGGCTATTCCTCCTGGAGATACTGCTGTCTAGTGTGCGGAGTCTGGGCCCTGATCGGCCTCGTCGGGGTTCTTGTCTTCTACTTCCCTCCTCCACGGCCGAACTCGCGCGGACTGACCAAACGAGAAATCATCGGCGAGATCGATTTCGTCGGAGGCTTCCTCAGTATCTCCGGCAGCATCATCTTCCTGGCCGGGCTTGAATGGGGAGGCTACCAGTACGACTGGGAGAGCGCGCATGTGTTGGCCCCGTTGATCATTGGGTTTTTCTTGTTGTTTGTCGCCTTCCCGATCTGGGAGATCAAATTCGCAAAGTTCCCCATGTTTCCGTCGCGAATGAAGAAGGAGGCGCGCGTGCTGACGCTGACGCTGATCATCACCGCCATCTCCGGCGCCAATTTCTTCTGTATCCTCATGTTTTGGCCTACCCAGGCATTCAACGTCTACGGGCATGATCCGGTTGGTAAGTCGACCTCTTCCGCTGCTCGTCCCAGCCCCCCCCCCCCCAAAGATGAAGACAGGCCCAGATCTCCGTCTCTCCCTCCCCCTTGTCGCAGAACCAGCCCACTTCACTTTGCTCTACTAAGGCCTGGTGCACCATCTGACTCTCACGTGAACACACTTATAGGGGTCGGCGTCAGGACTCTGCCCGTCGCATTTGCCATCCTTGGAGGCTGTGTGATTGTGCTAGCACTATTGTCACTGCTGCGAGGCCACATCCGCGAGTTACTCCTCGTGTCTTCCATCTTGATGACGGCCGGGAGCGGGTCGCTGGCCGTGGCGAATCCGCACAACATCCACCAGGTGTACGGGATCCTGGTGGTGGCGGGCCTTGGGATCGGCGGCATTGTGGTTCCCGCGTCCATCATCACCACCATCATCTGCCCGGACGACATCATCGCGACCGTGACGGCCCTGACCATGTCGGTGAGGGTGTTGGGCGGCGGCACCGGCTACACCATCTACTACAACGTCTTTGTCAACAAGTTCAAGAAAAAGGTTCTCGCCGACGTCGGCGGCATCATGGTCGGCGAGATGGGTTTCACCAATCCCTACGACGTCCTGGCTGCCATCGGCGCCACCGCCTCGTCGTTGCTCGAGGACCTGCACCAGATCCCGGGAATCGCCGGCAACGAGACCGCCTATCAGCTCGTCGTCGCCGCCGGCCAGACCGCCTTTGCCGACAGTTACAAGTGGGTCTATCTGGTGTCCATCGCCTTTGGCGGCGTCGCCATCATCTGCTCCTTGTTCCTCGGCAATATCGACAAATACATGGACGACCACGTCGCCGTAGTCATGTAGTTCTCCGACAGGACAAGGGGCTTCGAGAGCTGCCCAAATAGCTGGGGTGAGTCACGAGACGCGGCGAGCAGCTTTGTCCTTCCCTTCTTACACTCGTGTCCCTTTGCCTTGGGAAGTGGGAAATCGGACTCATCAACTAACGGGAATAGATCTCCCAGGAACCTCGGCGTGGGCCACGAATCTTGATATACCAGGCCGGGGTTGTCCAACGTATATAGCACAATATTGCAAATAATCAGGCAATAGTATCCGGACTGCCCAACACTCAATCTGCCCGTTTGTTCGTTTCACCGAGCATTTCCTTAGGAGAACGTCGATACATGATTCCTTTCTGGTCATCTGAGTGTGCTTGCCATTGCCACAGACAAAACCCCAGGGTGTGCGCAGCAGCGTCACAGCTCATACCAGCTGTCTCCAAAACTCATCGTCCAGATAATCAAATAGTCCCGCTCCAGTGACTGACATTTCAAGAAGCTCTTCAGGGCTGATGTGGACGCTTGGGATCAAGGTGGCACTGGGGTCTCCAGAATACTCGTCCGCGGTGTTTTGCGTTGCCATTGAAGGCAGATCTTGCCCATAGCCGTTAAGGGCCGGTCGATCTAGGGTTTGCTGTTGGATGGGTTCAACGAGAGTGCGTTGGTGTTGGTGTTGGTATTGGTGATGCTGTTGATCTTGAAGTTGTTGTTGGGGATGAGAATGGCGATGGCGCTTAATCTTCCGTCTCGACTCGAAAACCTCCCTAATACATCTCAGTCTGCTGACGACGCGGTCAGTCTGGGCTGAAACGACACTCCGACCGTCTCGCCGGAAGGAATCCCTCTCGATTTCCAGCGGAGAGTGGATCTGGCGGGATATATCCGCGTACTTGCTTTCCACTGCTTGTAGGATGGAGACAATGTCTAAACCGTAACGCTGCAGATAGCTCTCGTCCCAGCCAGGCACGTTGTCGGGGCTGAGCACACATAATTTCGCCAGGATGAGGGCGGCGTGAGAATAGATGGCGAAGACTGAGAAAGGGACGTTGAAAAAGCTTCTAGTCGGCCAGGAGCATATGGTGTCAAAGACGGGCACCAGACTGTGTACGAGGTTAACGATCATGGGAAGACGCATGTTTGTCGTCGATCCAGGCTCCCCGTTTACCCAAGGGTTGCGTAAGCCGTCGAGGTCCTCGAGAGCAATGCCATAGAGAAACAGTCGCACGTTGTCGCAGTGTATCTTGCATACCAATGCGAGGTCCGAAGCAAGTGAATGTGGTTGGGATGGGCGATATGACTGTGCATCCTCGTCCTGGTCATGGCCTTGGCCTTGCTGGTTCTCCATCACAATATCGAGTTTGAACTCCTCTTCAGCACGGCGTAGATCTGTCTCTAGTGCCTTAACAGCCATCGCGATGGGAGTGGACCAGAAGCCGTCCTGAGATGCGCTGTTGAAATCGTCTGGTGACAGCGCGCGACTGATCCGGTCGACCAAGCAGTGCAGTCGCACCAGTTGGACAAGGTATACGTCTGTAGGATACTCCCGTGCTGCTGTGATGGACCGGCAACAGTCATCGACGTATTTTGTGCTCCTCATGGGCTCCATATACCTAATGCATGCTGAGGCACTGCACAGCTCACATCAATTTAGTCAGCGGAGGGTTTGCCATATGTATCCAGGATTCATTGGAGGAGTCAAGTTTTGTTTGGGGATCAAGGTAGAGAGGGAGACTCTCGTAAGCTTCACGATGATCTTCCGATATCGTAGAAGCAGGAAAGAGTCTTCTCGTAAAGTGAGGCGATGCCAGCCTTGAACTTGCATCCTAGTAACTTTATTGTAACGGCCAATAGCAAGGTGCAGAAAGCTAATCGACTTACAGAGACATCAAATATGCGCAGCCAAGGAATGCTCTTCTTTCCTCGAGCGTATGGGGCGTGGTAATCCAATGGCGGTCTTTCAAGTAAGTTTTCGCCTTCCCGTCGGTCATGAGCCCAAGGCTCTTGACTGCCTTGATTGCGGCGGGTTTTCCCAGGCCCAGATCGGTCACCATTGCCAGAGCCATATGGAGCAGAGTGCTGAACTGTGCACCGGTCGAGATATTGAAGTGATACCTGAAGCCACTCATCGTCAGAAAGAGGAGGCCAGAGCCCGAGAGGGCGAGCTTCAAGGAGATCGGGTGAAAGACAGAGACGCATCAGATAGACAATACCAGGCTAAATAGACGAGGAGGCCTTGGAGCAGATCGAGGTTCTGCTCTCCCTTTAGAAGCACACGTTCGCTGAGAGAATCCCCTATCCGCCGGGCCAAGGTGAGTTGTTGAGCTGCACCCTGCCGCAAGCTTGCCATCATGATTGTCATGTATAGGAATGGTTTTCGGTCTTGCAACTCCCTGGCGCTGACACGATCGGGGATGACGACAAACGGGAAAAAGGGAGCCATGTCGGAACGGAATGCGTTCAATCGGTCCTCAGCGTCAGCTCCTACAGGGAGATCATATGATCCCTCCGCGAGATTGGCAGAGCCCGAAATGACGGCATCATGATTGCCCTGAGTGGGTTGACGGGATGATGAAAAGGAGCCAAAATGGTTCGAGAGGATCTCGGGGGAGGTTTGTTGCGATGCGGCCAGCAAGGCAGCCATTCCATCTACTTTCTGTACCAGCCTTGAAACATCACTGCTAAAAAGTCAATATCAAGATACGTAGTAAACTGAACGGCATGGCCCTCTCCGGTTGCACAGGGGGGCTCCCAAGTCCGCCGTGAACGCTGACAGCGTATCAGCCGGGACGATGGTGGTACAGTAGAATCCCTCGACGGCTGGACCTGGGAGATTAAAGTACTGATTCGCGACCAAGCATGGCAGAGGGCACGTACGAGGCAATGGGGTTCTTTCGTTTGTGGGCACCTGGTGCTTGTACGGTGCACTGCTTGTTGAGACGCCGGCAACTGCGATTCGGCAAGGTCAGTCAAACTCAGAACACTGCTATCCATATGGATCTCAAGTCAAGCCAAGTCATGCTAGATCCGACTCTTGCGACTATGCTCTCGCCCTCCCGGGACCGCAGTCGGTTTTGGATGAATAAAACGGCATCTGATGGGCATAGGCATACCGTGAACAAACCGCTCCGTCTTGTTCGAGATCACAGCGGATTTTGGCGTGGGCGCACGCCTTGCAGGCCCTAGGGCCGGTTCTTGGGCCAACATGGTTGGGTGGAGGCCAGCGGAGCATCGTGACTCTCATTCATTCCAGGAATCTATTGCGCAATCGAGCCCTTTCGAGCATCTTTTGTCCGTGTCCGTGCGCTTTCGAGGATCTGACATCCAGCTTCTCTGCCGCAGGGATTGTCTTGGACAGCAGGACAAACAGCCTGAAATATCCCAGCACCAAACGTACGGACGTGGACTGATCCTGGCTAGCCCCGATATGGGAATGTTCCGTGTCCGTGTCCGTGTCCGCTCCAGGGTGGATCGCGACGACGCCTCCTCAGGCCCGAGCCGCCACGAAAGGGAAAGCCTGCTGGATCCATAAATTGACAGTCGAGCGTAGAAAAGCAGAATAAGAACAAAGCGAAGACCAAGCCGACCAAGTCGAGAGAGAGATAGAGAGAAAGAAACAGAGAGGAGCCGATAAATGGCATCAAGCTTTTGGTGCTCTTTGCTGGCCCTTTTTTTTTGCAGTCGTTTTGATGACCATCAATGTCTCGTTGATCGCAACGTTCAATCATCGTGATGAAATGTTTCCGTTATCTGTCCAGGCGACACTCGCCTGACACCCAGTCCTAATGTAAGGAAGTTTTTTTTGTATTGCTCCCGTCGCTGTCTTGATCCTGCATCCGGCCCTACGACTTGCCGCTGTGGTTCCCAGGCATCAAGGAAGGGTAGTTCGACGATGAGTGGTGTTATGACCTTGTCCATGATGCTGTTGTGGTCTTGCAAGCTCCTTGGGGCGACCATCTTGGAAAAATTCTGGCCGAGAGTTGTAGAGCCATCGAGGGCCATCAAGGACGCTGCAATCTGCGCCAGACATGGCCAGGTACAGTTGTCCAGAAGCCCAATTCATACTGAAGACAGCCTTTATTTGTTCCCTCGACACAGGCCAGTCCGTGTATCGGCCACCAGATCCTGTCTACGAGGCACCGGTCGATGCTTCGTGGACCGAGGAAGGATGCAGGGAGTTGTGAGAGGACTGGAGCGGAACTCGGCCAATTCGAGGTCGTTCGGTTAGTGGGAGGAAGGCAACAGTAAGATAATGTACATTGTACCACTATAGCGCCTTGGGTGTAGAGGTAAGATGTGAATTACTCCGTTCAGTAGTAGTAGTAGTAGTAGTAGTAGTAGTAGTAGTAGTAGTAGTAGTAGTAGTAGTAGTAGTAGTAGTAGTAGTAGTAGTAGTAGTAGTAGTA